GGTATGTTACCTGTCTGCACTCTCAGCTCCCGCCAGCCTGAGCTCTGCATGGGTGACTCACTGCCCTCTTGGGGGTATGGCCCTGGTTTGTAGAGCTTGGGGAGGGGAAGGATGGAGGGGAGGTTAACTCATCCCTAAGGTGGCTTTTCCATTTCTCATCCTGTGTGTGTCTTTACTTGCCAAGCAGGCCCTACAGCTCTGGACCAGAGGCTCTGGCAGCAGCAAAGAAAGCGCAGCTGGGAGAAATGAAGAGGGCTGGAAATGAATGCAAAGCAGGCAGGGGTGGCATGGGGAAGGGGGGGAAATCTGCCACGTGTCTGCCTGACACACATGCCAGATCGCTTCTCCAGACTGCCGGCCGCAGCTCCTTTGCCTGCCAGCCCGAGAGCAGTTTGCAGAAAGCAGCCTGTTATTTTCCCCTCCTCGCTCTCGCTTCCCTGGGCTTTTCCCCCACCGTCTCTGCCAGGGTGAGAGCGCAGTGGCAGAGGGTGGCGAAGGCAGAGTGGAAGTGGCCATTCCCCGCTCCAGATGTTCTGGCAGCTGTGTGTGAAATGAGCCTCTCTTCTCTGCCTTCCAGTTAAGGGAGGCTGCCTGGCCAGCGTGTGTGGGGCTGGGTACAGAAAGCTTTAAAAGGAGGATTCCTCTCATACTGGAAAACTGCAGGGCTTTTGTTAAACCGGAGTTTGCTCAGTGCCACTCTGTCCTGATGGAGGGCACTTGCTAGCTGGCTGACGTTTCTCCCTCTGCACGAGAGCCTCCTTGTCCATGGCTATGGGACCTGAGTGTTATTCTCTTAAAAGTCAGTGTATGTTAATTGCGTGGACTTTTCCTTCCTTTTTCTCTGTTCTCCCAGCCTCACTCCTCCTCTCTTTTCTTTTTCTTCTGTTCTCATTTCCTCTGTCCTTTCCCTTTTCCTATTTCTCATGCTCCCCTCCATGCGCAGTTGCTTTTTTTCCCTGCTGTTGATTTTGTTTCTCTCTCCTTCTCTAGCTGTTACAAGCCAGAAGTCTGAGGATGTGATCCCAACGCTCCACGCCAGCCTTTTCGTTTCTTGTTTATATCTTTATTTTTGTACTGCAGCGTATGGCAGCCCCTTGCCCCACACTGACACCCCCCAGCTCCCTTCACTCTTCACATGCAGCCATTCTTTTTTACAAACTCACCTCGGAAGCCTGAGCCTCCAGCCCTGAAGGAGGGCAGATGTTCCATGGAGCCCCATGGCTGCTCTAAGGGCTGGAGCCCCTGGCCCCCTCCCATGCCTAGCAGGCTGGCTTTCCTTAATGTCACAGTGTCCCCTGCTGGGGACATCACCGATCGGCCACTGCAGCCTGCGGTCCTTTCCTGAACACCCTGGATGGCAACTGGAGCCCTGAGGTGATGGCAGCTGCAGAAAGACCAGTCCTGACCCTTTCGCTGTTGCGGGCAGCTGATCTGGGCTTGTGGCCAGAGGGCAAATACAGGGCTGCTGCTCTTTTCTGGGCCACCTGCACTGCTTGTGGGGTGTCCCTGTGCTGGGTATCACGCTCCTTGGGGCCTCCCTCCCTGTCCCCCAAAGCGGTTTTGTGTCAGCAGGGTGAGGAGGAGACAGGTGTACTGCCCGGGTACTGGGAACACGCTGGCACCTGATGTCGTGTCAGCTAGCACCAGGACATCCCCGTCTCGGGGAGTGGGGTGTTTGCTTCATTGCTGTGTCTGAGGACGCCAGGTTGTAACTCCTCAATAAAATTCACAGTCTGTTCCTCCTTGCTGCCTCCCATTTCAAGTGGTGGAAATTTGGTGCTGGTAGAAGAGGGTGGGAGCTGGAGAAGAGGAGTTTGGATTCATCACCTGGAGCCACCAGAAGCTGCTTGTGATGCACCTGTCTTCCAGGGGCTGAAGGTTCTTCCCACTGCATCTGGGCTGCATCCCCTCTGCAGGCAGCTGGGCCACAGACCAGGTTTGTTTATTGGTATCTGCACCCCTAAATCATAACACTAAGCGAGGACCACCTATCTAGGTAGCGTATTGACCCCGCTGCGCCTGGGGACAGCTGCGAGGAAGGGTGAGGGTGTGGAATCTTTTCCCAGTTGCCAGTGCCAGGACTGGAGTTTGGTCAAAAAGATACAAACCTCAAGATAATTTTTAACAGAGTAAGGCAAACTAGAGCCAAAAAATCCCTCAAATTAATTTTACTTCTAATTCCAGAGAGTGGCCCATTGTATACACACACACACACACACACCCCTATATATGTATCTGTATATCTTTAGTAAAAAAACCAAACCCATAGCAGTCACTGTTTAAGCACTGTACCCTGAAGCCTTCTCCTTTACCTCCTGGATTATCTGAGTTAGGAGATGGAAGCAGTTGAGACACCCTCACCTTAAAGGTATTTAGAAGGGCTGAGGGAAGGGGATGGGAGGCTGCTCCAGTGTTTTTACCGAGGGGTAAGACTTTTCCCTGAGGAAAGAGCAGCCGTGGAGGCTGGGTGCTGCTCCAGGAGGGATGCAGGACACGCACTTGGGGGTATGATGCTGGACACGTGCCTGGGAGTCAGTGAGACATGAAGAGTTGCCTGGCTGAGCTGAACAGCACAGCGAACAGCACACGGCAGCTAAGAAAAGAAGCAATTAGGGAGATGGAAGAGGAGGAGTGATGGGAGGGGAAGGAGGAAGAAGGATGAGCAGCAGGAAGGAAGAGAGAGGCAGATTGATTTCACAGTTACTGGAATCTCTAACTACATCAGTCACATTTTCTTTCAGCAAATGTTCCAGCATAAGATTGTGGCTGAATCACATGGTTCATGGAAAGTTCAACTCCCCTTATTCTTTTTCTCAGAAACCATCAACTTGGGACTATTGCTGTGGGTTGTGGTGTTGTTGTCCCCCCTCAAGTCTTTTGGATGGATGGCCTAAAAACACCTTGGGATGTTCCTTGGGAAGCACTAAGGGGGAAAAGAGTCCACCTGCTTTTGTCTATAATCCCCATGGCAGGCTTTTTTTACCCTGCTCAGAAGAGCATCCTGGGTCTGACAACATCCCACACAGAAACTCTCTTTCTCTGAGAGGCAAGTGAGCAAGATCAGGAATGAGTGCCATGTGAGTGTAGGTCTGATGGGGAGAAGGCAGAGATGCACTTTTCTCAGCTCATGGTTTGGTTCATCCAGCCCAGCACTTGAGTGATCCTGGTATATACTCCATAGTGATTTAGACGTGCGCATCCCATTCCCCAGCTGACCACACCTGCCAGAAACCACCTGCCACTGGGTTCCTTGCAGGCCAGTGGACCTCCACTGGTGTCCTGGGATGCCAGTGGACCTCCAGAATCACCCGAGAGAAAGGTAAAGAGAAATGGGGTGATGGTGATCCACCAGCTTGTACCTTAGGCAGATGTCAAAAACAGTCTCTAGTGCAAACATCAGACCTATTGTTGCATTCCTTCATCATGCAAATTCCTCCCCCTTAGCCAGGTCTCAGGAAGCTGACTGCTCTATTGTTTCGTTCTGCTGTGTGGCATTTCCAAACATGTGGAGAGCAAGGAAGCTGGTGGAATTTAACTGGATAGCTGGAGGGCTGGGAGACAGAGGAATTCCTTGAGCTTGATAGTGACGAAGGAACAGATAGGTTACTCTGTGTGACAGATGCTAAAGAGGCTGAGGGAATAAGAGACATGACTTGAAAGTGAGAGGTGTCATCTTTTAAGGTGAAGTTTAAGTGTATTTGGATCCTGTCTAAGGCAAAGATGCTGGGAAGAAATGGTCCTGAGAGCTGTTGTTGGCCACTTAGATCAGAGGAAGTGTTGGGAAAGTCAGGAATTTTATGGTCTTTTCACCCTCATTTCAGGATATGGAGTGCATTTGGGAGACTTGGGACACACCCCACCTTCAGTAGTCAACCCTGATCCCACAACTCCTCTGTCACCTGGCAGGCATCTTTCTTGCCCGTGTGGTACCCAGCACACATCATCCGGGGAGAAATCATGTAGTGATATGCCTCGCTGCAGATGTCCTGCTGGATGAGCTGCACGTCCACCTTCTGCAGAACATTGCTGATATGCCCTGAGGGGTAAAGCCCCAAAAGTAGTGCAGATAAGCAATGGTGGAGCTTCCCAACATTTACTGTGATCCCCCAGCCCACGCCTATGTCACTGTATGCTGAAAGCTGCCATCCGAATTTCTATTCTGCTCTCCCCTGGCATCACAGTCTCTGACTTTCAGCAGAGCACTTCACCTGCATGGAAGGAGTCACATTCCCCTTCAGTCCCTTTCCCTTTTATGTTGTGGGCACTTCAGCTTTTGGGACAAGCAGGATTCTGGTTTGAGGAAGCCTCTGGGATGTCAGAATTTTGGGTTTGCTTCTCATTGAAATGGATGTTAAGCTCTTCCAGCTAAGTATGCAAACCAGGAGATTCCAGTTCTGGATAGATCCCTGAGTATTTCCATTTAGGAAGCAGATTGAGCAAGTGTGTGAGTGAGTGAGGGCACTAAGCTGACCTGGGTGAGCACATCTATATTCCTGTGCCATGCACTACTAGAGAACAGCTTGGACCTGTTTTGCTGACCCTATGTGGAGAGAACATGAAGGGTCCAAACCCATGCAGCTAAACTCTTCCTCACAAATCAGGATGGACTCATCCATACCACCCCGTGGGAACAGATCTTGGCCCATGCTGGTCCCCAGCAGTGTGTGGGTGCTATGTGGTCAAAATGGTCAAATGGTACCAGGGTGCATGCTAACAATTACACAGTGTGATCCTCAGGGGACCCTGCACTGCTCCCATTGACTTTACTGGTACAGATGTTGCTGCAGGCACTCAGGTCCTAGGGTCTTTGACATGGGGAAAATGTTGCTGCAGGGGCTGCAGACAAGTGTCCCCAGGAGACCCAGTCCCAGTTTTATGAAGAGCAGGGTTTTTTATCCCGACGCTCTCTGATCAGGCACTGTCCCTGGGGAATGATCCAACAGGATCCCACATGTCGATGTAACCATGGAGTTGGGTTTTGGGACTGGGGCTGCTCCATGCTGTGACCATGGCTGAGCAGCCACTAGACAGACCCCTGACTCCTGAAGGGCTATTCTAGTCTTTGGATGAAGGAACATGTTCTGTCCCCGCAGAGATTACCTGACTCTCATGCCTGCCTCTCCAAATGAGGTTTCAAGGCACTCAACAGGTAACTTTGGCCAACCTATGACCAAAAATCAAAGGGGCTGAAGGACGCAAAATACTCTGGGGTAAACAGAAGCCTATTCTGCCTACCCCACATCTGAACCTATGTATCTGCCTTGGCTCTGCCACAGTAGGCCAGCAGCAAAGACCTTGCACCTACCCCCTTCCTTGAGGGCTCCCCAGCCGGTGATCCAGCAATGAAGGCCAGGCTCAAAGAGGTGAGAAGGAGCAGGCAAGCAGATGGGCTGGATTAAGGGCGAGATGATCACAGGATGGTCCAGCTGGAGCAGGGCCACATCATAATCATGGCTGTCCTCCTCGTAATAAGGGTGGAGGAAGAGGCGGATCACCTTGAAGGACACCTCTGTGTGGCTGGTGGCATTTTGGAAATATTTGCCCAAGTAAACGGTCCAGATGGAGGCGGAGGCCAGTCTGTAGGATGCAGCAAAGAAGATAACTCATCACATGAACAGAGAAGGATGGGCAGAGCCTGGCTGCTTCTGTCACAGTCTTTTGAGGAGTCTCTGGTATGGATGATCATCTCCCTCAGAGCGGCCTCTTTTTTTATTTGGTTACTGATTTCAAGGAACTAGGTGGGACATCTCTTTGATGCCTTGACAAGCCTGTACAGTGGGACAACTTTGGGCAGACACTCATACACACAGGCAACTTGCTCGTATTTGCTTATTTTCCTCAGGAAAGCAGTCTAAAAGGTGTACGTAGCTTAGACAAGCAAGTGGGGCTGTTGATGGGCAAGCAACTACCATAGGGCAAAGAGCAAAAACTGAGCTGGTGAACCAAAGCTGCCAGGAGAAGGAGACACGGAGAAGGGGAGCATGCTCCGAGAAATTTCTAAGAGGAAGTAAAGTGAGAAAAGCGGCTCAGAGGTGAGGGCATTAAAAGGCATGACAGCCCTTTAGAGAAACCGGGGCTAAAGCTGGGGACAGCCTAACAAGGTGACACCTCTGAGAACAGAACAGCTGAGAGCTAACAGCCAGGACAGACCCTGTCTGCAGCAGGAGGGTGAGGAGCAGAGGGGAACTCACCCAGGACCAGAGCAGGGAGAAGCGGGAAGGGGGCTGGTTTTAGACTTTAGAGTCTAAATCTAAAGTCTAGGTTTTAGAGTCCTCTCCACCTTTTGCCTTACACATGCCGTTTTTCTCCCCTCTGGGTGCGAAAAACTCCCTGGTTTGGTTTGACCATTTCTCTTGCTCCAAACTGCCCTTCAGGACTCACCTCCAGCCTATTGCCTGCACAGGCTGCTGCCCATTGCACAGCCCACCTCAGGCTGCTCCTGGTCTTCTGCTCCTCTTTTCCCCCATTATTTCTTATCTCTCACACCACTTAAATTCTCTCTCTGACAGGTACACACATATGCCATCTAACAGGGCTGTGCTAGCACCATTCATCCTGCATTGGGACACTCCGAAATGGCCAAATTCAGCCCGCATGGACCACTTGAAAGGCCTGATCCCAGTGCT